TGTATCCACAGAGCTTCCGCAGCAGCTGAAGTGCCAGACCGGCTCACCAAGTTCCAGGACCCCACCCATGATGAGGACCATATTTACAGAGCCTGAGCAAAGAGGGGCAAGAGGTGGCCAGACCAAGGAGGAGTGTGGAGATACTTCCTATAACTGAAAAATCCTAGCAGCTTTCTCCCAAGATAATGTTCTGTCCTCACACATGGCTTAGGCTGAAAGATTCTAACCTGTGACCTAGGGACTCTAAAATAGGAAGCAGGTTTGGGTTGAGCATTCTTGATTAAAGTCAAAACAACACCTTTAAAGTGCAAACCTAAAAGTTGGTCAGACTTGTAACTTTTCAGATGAGGGATGCTGTGTCTATGCCTATATGTCCGCCAGTAGTGGGGACAGTACAGCCACAGGACAACCAAAGCTAATGCAGTAGGGCCAGTTTGGGTTATGCTTTAGTCTTATTCATCTCCTGCCTTAGCTCAGAATCCTTCAGTTAACTCATCTTCTAAACAGTCAGCAAATGACATCAGCTGACGTGCTAACAGAGTGTCCTTTGATGTTGTTCAGTTTTTGCTTCTCTTCTGTGCATGGCAGAAGACAGTTTAAACAAGTTACGCTGTGCTTCTTTTCTGGTATGTCTTCCTGGGGAACTATGGAAAGGGATGTCTGAGAGCCTCAGTGTAGGAGACTCACTGAAAAGGAAGGTCCTCCCAGAATGCATCTGGTTCAGTCTTTTGGAGTTGGTAGTTGGGAAAAGCAAATGGAACTTGCATGTATTCAAGCAGGAGTACGTGTAGAATCGGTATATGTGACATAACCGGGTCCATTGGCTTGAGGAGTCCGTGCGATTCCCAGTACTTTCAGCCAACAGAAAATCACCAAGATTTAATAGTCAGAAATCCTGAGATTTCTGGGGGAAAAAGTGCTTGTATTTTTGCTTATTAGACTCTTTGAGGGCATATCTTTTAAAATTTACCCATCAGACCCTTTGAGGGAATCTTTTAAAAAATCGTAATAACAATTTTCCTTGAACCCAGTAGCATCCCTTTATATATTTCATGTGTTTTAAGACATGAGCGAGTTTCTTGTTAGAGGTATAACAAATGCCATGTGACTATAAAATCATGTTAATCAGGGATCTTTGTAGATTACCCAGCGCTGCTTGGTTTGACCTGTAAAGAATAAGCAGATCTTTAAATGCTGGGAAGGGAGAGCATTTGAAGTTAAGGAAACATTAGCACCAGCAAAGGGGCTGCTCGGTCTACCTGGGGAAAGTGAGACTGAAACTTGCTGGCCAGGTGGAGCAAATCCAGACACTAGGAGCGAGGTAGCAGGCACTGTGCCGGGGAGTCTGCGCTGTATTGAGTATGTACCAGAATGGTTTTGAAGAGTACAATGCTATTCTACTTCACATTTCAGTTTTATTTATTTAAATACTTAGTTATACTCAGAATAGTGGTTTGGTTAGAAAGAAGACTGAAGATCCTTTGGTTATTGAGTGTGTCTGTTAGTTTCTGGCTTACCATGAAACCTTCAAACTTGATTACTCCTGTGGTTCTGAATGATGCTTTGAGTTTCTCTGTAGTATAAGGAGTCTGCTTGTAAATTTTAACTCTGCAGTTTAGAGAATGTCTTGCTGATCTCCTTAAGTCTTCTTTAAGTATAGACTATCCTACATTCTAAGGAGTTTATGAGACCCAAGTAATTTGGGTAGGCAAAACAAAACACTTTGTCTCCTCCCCCAAACAGTCTGTCTTTGTCTTGGGCAAAGATGGGTGGAAGGCACTGTGATTCACTCCCTAGTTCCAGACACGGGTTTTGAAGTCTTCCTCCCCACAACACACTATTCGTTTATCCATACATAAATGGCTACTACGTTTGCAGTTTGTACTAATGACCTTGTACGAAGTCCTTTGTTCCTGTCGCTTGGGCTTTGGCAACGGTCCATCATCCCTCTCATCCTCTTCACACTTGCGTAATAACTAATTTGTCGGCCACAATTTTCAGGGCCTTATAAGTCTCGTGTAATCAGTCTGTCTAGTGCCATTTAATTCTGTCCAATCTCAAACATGACATCATGCCTCAATATTCCACAACCCTCTGACTGCTCCTTCTACCCACTGTGGTGTAGTGATGCTGGCTTCTTGTTGGGCTTAACAGAAATCATGTAGCTTTACACTCTGAAGACTTGGGTGTCATTTTTGTATTGGATGAATTCTTTTGGCCCGCTCCTCCTAGTGATTGCCACGTTTGGTTCAAGTTTAATTTTTATTGGACAGATTTTTACAGAAGGAGGGACAAAGAGAAAAATCTTCCATTTGCTAATTCACTCTCTAGTGACCACAGTGGCCAGAACTGAGTTGATCTGAAGCCAGACACCTGGGGCTCCCTCAGAGCTCTCCCATGGGTGCAGGATGCCAAGGATTTGGAACATTCTTCTCTGCTTTCCCAGGCCGTAAGTAGGGAGCTGGATTGGAAGTGGAACACCGGGACACATGCTGGTGCCTGTATAGAGAATGCCAGTGCTTGAAGGTGTAGGACTAGGCTGTTGAGCCATGGCACCAGTCCCCATAGTTTCTTTTCTACAGCTAAATCTTTATATAATATATTTTTTCTTTTTAAATTATATTTTTGACAATCTTTACATAGTTAATTAGGGTGAAAAGGTTCAAGGGCTATAGGAAAGTGGGTAAGACTATTTCCATATTGTTTTGTTCATGTTTAAAGGGGGGTATTAAGGGAGAAGGCCCACCCAATTTCCTACCCTCCCCAGGTCCCTCATGTAGGGTATGCTGTGAGGTTCTTGTTCAAGTGGTTTTGATAGTTCATCAGTTATGAATCACTGCCAATCTTGCCACTCCAAGCACTATGAAGTCTTTGAAGAATCCACTGATTGACATAGTCCATCATAGTCTGTTTGCCCCGTATTTTCCTGCCAACATATAGCTGAGATGGTTGATTGATCTGTTCTGTGTTCTCTCTCTTCTTGGTTAGGGTTCTGAGTCCAGCATTTCTACTGGGGAGATCTCCAAAGAAACTTTGAGGTGTTCTCAGACCAGATTCTTGTATGTACTTAAAGCTAAATCTTCATTTCGATGACACCCTCTTAGTTCATTTTTTTTTAATAAACATGACTCCATTTCTTCAGCAATCACATCCTTTATTTAATGCCCAACACAAAGTGGTTACGATGAGAATGCGCAAAACCAGTGGACCTTGAACTTGGAGTTGTACGTTCTACCAGTGTGGTTCCCAGATGGGCATGCACTCCACAGCCTGTGACTCTCTCAGCTGTAGTGTCCAGGAATGTGTGTTTTCACCAGTTATTTTTACAGACTCTGTGAGAGTTACAGTGGTCTTCATAAAGACACTTGACAGTTCTCAATCCACTAGTGTAGCAGTGTTCTATATTTGTTTTAGCCTATCTCCTATATGGTTGAGATTATAGCTAACCCGCTGGTTCTCAAGTTTTAGGTCTGAGATGGGGCTGGCAAGTTGGCTTTATAGTAATTTTCCAGGTGATTCTAAGTAAGGAACACATATTTGAGAAATACTTGAATGTTAGAAAGTTGCCTGTGTGTGAGGGAGAGTTCTAATTTTCAAAGTCGAGCACTAGAATTTTATTAAACATTGTTTTGAGGTAAGTGACCCTGCACCCTATGTTCATAAAGGTTTGGGTAAAGGGAAAATGTTCTTGTCTGCCTTGGCACACTGGAATGCAATACTGCATTGTCACTGATACTGTGCCGAGCGCCTAATCTATGTTCTCCACTGTCAGTGTGGTATGTCAGGGGTGGAACAAAGCCAACTTTTCTTCACTGCTGCCTCCACACCCTGCAGATTTGTTCATAGCTTGTGCCGCAGGCAGTGAAGTATGTGTGTGTTTGCCATTGCTAGATGGTCCCTGGATGTATTCTGGGCAGTTAGGGTGATCTCTGGCCCCACTCTGTATTTTATAAAATCAATTATTGGAAGCAGAACCTTAAAGGGTATTTCAGATATCCCAGCTCTGTTTGAATGAGTAGGTTATCTGATCCTCACAATAACCCTTTCAAAAGCAAGTATTATGACCCTCATGGTTTACCAGTGAGGACACTGAGGTATTACAGCAACAGAATTTGTCAGCGGCCTGAGGAGGCCTGGTCTATCTGAACCTTCAGTCATGCATTTTATTTCCTCTTAGCCATTCATCTGGCCTTTGTTTCATTTAAGGTCCCTCCGAGGACAATTAACTGTTTATTCTGGAAAATTCAGTAGGATTAAAGCCGGTTGTGTTTCATTTCCAGCTGTGTCTATAAGTAGCTTTGTGTCTTTGGGAAAGTTACTCCACCTCCCAGAGCCTTATTTTTCCCCTCTATCAAGTTTAAATTCCTTTCCGGATATTCCCACCCCATACCCCAAATATCAGGAAACGTTTGTGTGTGCATGTGTGTGTGTTTAACATAAAACAGTATTACTTACAAGAGAACAAGTTGTGGTAACTTCATTTGTGACATCATCCAAAACTTTGGCAAATTTAAAGTGATATCAGCAGGAGTTATTTCTGCAGGCATTTTTGTTGCTGTGAAGTGACTAGCATGTGACAACACTGTGACAAGGTGCCGAAGCGTCATCTCTTGGGTGACTTGCAGTTGGTGACCCCAGCAGGTTTCAGGATGGAGGATCTGCTTGGGCAGGAGCAGCGAGCCGGGCTGGTCCCTAGCAGGACAGGACGTCAAGCACCTGTGATGGCTTAGGAGGGGCTGGTTACACCTCTGCCATTATAGCCTCTGGATTTGTGCTTGCTGCCTTCTATTTTCAGTGGCTAGGGCAAAGGTTTTTTGGGAGGACCGGAGAGACCTGATGTAAAGCTTGTTTAAGAGTGATTTTTTTACTGGCTCTAGTTCCACAGATAGGAATTCAGGATGTGAAACCAGCACTGTGAGGTCATTTGACTACAGTTGAAGAGGAAATTTACAAATGAATGTGAAGGATCTTGCCAGTGTTGTGGGTTTTGTTTCCTACAGACCTCAAAGGAATGAGTGTACCCTCCAAGTGGATGTCCCAGCCTGGTAGGTTTGTTTCCGCTTTTTGAGTGTTTTTCTAACGAGTGACTTGGTTTATTGTTACTGTGCTCTTTTTTTCCTTTTTTGTCCTATATAAAATCAGAATGATACTTGGACCATAACCCGCATGAATGAAATAGAAGAGTTAAGTTTAAACAGAATTGCCATAGAGCTGATTGGCTGGGTTCCTAGTGTTTTCGTGTTATGTATGCTAGGCTGGGTGTTAACTGGAGTCGGGCACTAAGAGAAACCGAGTAATGAAATATTCTAGTGTTGCAAATGAGTAAAATTTCAAACTTGGTCATCAGGCACATTTTTTTCCTTTGGAAGAATGACAAAACATTTATGGGGCTAACACATCAGTGAGGTCGGAATAGCATGTGTGTCTGAATTTCATTCTCAACTGTCAGTGTTCTGTGAAAGTCGCAAAGTGAGTACAGAATGTTTTCTGGGCTCGTTACTGTTTTCTTGTGGCTGATAGCTGGGAACTAAGTGGTTCAGGCCTGTGCCTCTGGTGTTGGTCAGAAAGCAAAGGCTGTCGCTAGGGAGATAGTGCTGTGGCCATAGCTCCACCCAGGACAGCCACATCAGACTCTAACAATTAGAATAGTTATTGTACCAAGTTAGGTATGGCTCTTCAAAGTATGTTGGTCCAGCTTGGGTGGGGCGGAGGAACACACTTGGAGGAGTGGGGACTATGTTATTGATGAAGTAACAAATTCGTTCTGCTTTGGAATGATGGCATGTTTACAGTCACTGAAAATGAAGAGAAAGTACAAATAGACTGGCAACAATGTAAACTCCTCTTCATAATCCATCAGAGGTACTCAAAGTCTTGATCTGCTGGGGATCTGACTGGCTTTTGGGCCCTGCCTCCAGGCATCCTCGGAGGTGCTGCTACAGGGAGGGGGTGCCTTCTGTTCAGGGCTGTGTGTTGAATTTCCGTTTAAGGAAGCTGTATGTATGACCAGACTGCCCCCATCTCTGTTCTCTGAAATCAAATGGTCATTTCCCCTGGGCCGCCTATAGGATTCAGATCTCCATCATTTTAGACCATCCCAGGGCTGTTTCTCAAATTTCTGTGGTACAAGATATATCTTAATGCACAGATCTGTTAGTCAAGCAAAATTTGGGATGGGAGGAAGAGATAGGAAATGGTTAATTAAAACCTTTTTACAAAGGTCTAAACAAAATGAAGCTCCTTTTTCTGTTGTACTTTTTTTGAGTACAAAACATTTAAACAGTTCATAGAAAACCAGATTAAAAGATTGTCTATCTGGTGTAAATTTCTTTTAATCTAGTTCTGGTTGTGTTAGTAAGCTTTTGTCACTGTAGCAAGGTATTTATGAAGGAAGGGATTTTTTTCCTGGTTTAGGAAGTTTGTCCAATGCTATCAGGTGGTCCCACTGATCTGGTGTCCATTGAGGGCAGTGGATGGCGGAATGTGTAGGGAAGGGTCGTGTGGGGAGCCGAGTAGCCGAGACGCAGCTGCTGGGTGTAAGGCTCCTTTAAAAGCTGTTCTGGGGAGACCTACCCGGTGAGGGTGAGCCCTGTGACCTGAGGACCTGCTAGAAGACCTGCTTCTGGATCCTGAGATCAAGTCCCCACCCTTAATCCATTCATCATTACCAGAAGAATTGGACTAAGCCTTGAACAGAGAGCCTTTGGAGTACACCCAAATTATTGCATGATTTTTTTCTTAATATACCTTTTCCATGAACTTTGTGTAACAGTCTCTTGCAATGATGTGTGTTGTGCCTGCATTGGGAATTTAGAAGAGAATGAAAACTTTGGGTTCCTGGCCATTGCCATTTTCTAGAGTGTGGAGGTTATTTGTTCCTCCATGAGATGTTGGCAGGATGAGGGAGAGGCAGTGATGTCCTTTGAAAAATATGCCGTTTGATTCTGATTCAATATAAAAATAATATTTGAAGCCATGGATATGATTGTTCCAAAGCTGCTTGAGGTCAAAGTTTTGTTATGCATGTGTTGGCAGCCTGAGGAGGAAAAGGTCAACCTTTTGGGATTTAAAGTGACATAGTTATTAAATATCTTCGGTTTTTGAACTATTTGAAATTTCTTTCAATTCACAGAATTGAGTAAAAAAATGAGAATCTATATTGTTCAGTAACATTAAGGAAAAACCCAGGAGTTTTCATTTGAATTTAGCAAGGATTGTAAACAACGGTTACAAATAATTCATACAAATGCATTCACCCATTTTGCTCTTCAAGAATAGTTGCCCATAATCTTTAACTTTCTGGAAGTTGATGTGATTATGCTTCATTTAAAAATGCAGAAGTGAAATTTTGATACTAATTATCTCAAATGTACTTACCATAGCTTTCAAATATTGCTTCCCTGAGAAATTTTTAAAGGGCATTAGATTTTTTTTTAAATTTAATTTAATTTTATTATGTTGCATTATGTGACAATTTTTAGGCACTGGGATACCCCCTCCCCTCCCATCTCCCAACCCTATCCCCAAGGGCATTAAAGATTTTCTATGATTTCTTTGATGGGGGCTTGAAGAGTAGGCTGTAAACTTCTGTCTAGAATAAAGTATGAAAACTGGTGCAAAATAATGTGCACCAGACAGAGGGACCAAAATTCCAAGAATTTTATGCCATCATTATTTGAATATCATTAATGACAAAATTTTTAAAAAGTTTTTATTTGAAAAGCAGAGTTAGGAAGAAACAGAAATTTTCCATATCCTCCAATAGTCTCAGCATCCAGGGCTGGCTGAGATTAAAACCAGGAGCCAGGAACTTGTGAGTGTCCCATGTGGTTGCCCTGGAACTTGGGCCATCTTCTGGCACGTTAGCAGGGAGCTGGATCTGAACTGGAGCAGCTGAGATACAAATAAGTACCCACTATGCCATATCACGGGCTCCAAGGAATAATTAGTCTTCCTTTTAAAAAATTAAATGTTACTGGATTTTGTAGTTACTGCTATTTTTTCTTTAGGATACAAACACACACAGAGCTTTTAAGATCTAAAATATTGATTGGGAAATAACATTTTTACACAATGTACCACAAATTAGGACGTAATGCTCAGCTTAGATTTGTGGGAATATTTACATTTACAGATTTGTGCATAAAATGAGTATTAGATTTGCTTGTTTATTGTTCTACAGGCTTGTTTTTGTCTTAGCACTAATTTAGAGCACCATTTTTTTTGAGACATAGCAGCAATCGAAAATCAAACCAATAGCATAACTTTTCCATGTGCACAGGTACTGCACGCTTAACACCTACCTGACTGACAAGGGTTGCTGAGTGACACTGTCCTAATTCTAAGGACTTTGAAATGTGACACCCACCCCACCTAGGAATGAATGGAATATGATCCATCTTTGTATTTGGTTTTGCCAAAAGCGGTAACCGCGGTTACCTCATCCTTGTGGAGGTGTTTTTGTGTGACAGGTGTGTGGGAGGATTGCTTTGTTTCTATGTAGTAACCTCTCTGGTTCTCCTTGGCCGCCTCTTGCTTCGTAGGAAGGCCTGTGTTCTGAGCTTGGCTGTGTTTGGGAGGCCTTCCAGCTGGTTTGCCCAGCAAAGGGAGTAGTTAGATGCTCTGTGCCACGGAAGCTGTCGATGATGATGGAGAAGTTCTGCAGAAATACAGGAAGGTCTGCACAACGACCTGGCTGTGGAAGCGAAGGTGTACCTAGGAAGTAGATGCTAGCAGTCTCCCATGCTTTAGGATGCAGTTGAGATGGGAGTGGCTGCTTCGGGCCTATTCAGTGAGGCCCTAGGATGTCTGAGTCCATTTCTTTTTGTGTGCTCTTTGCTGTAGAGAGTTCCCTTGAACTTGCTAGACATCGTCCTGGCCAGGCCTCCATATTAGAGGTGTTCTCCCCAAAGATACTTTGCAAGGCCATATCCCTCCCTTGCTTTAGTTTCTCGCTCAAATAGCATCTTCTCCATCCCATCAAGAAAATAATTGGCTACCTTCTTCCCCTCTTGCCACCTTTGGCTACGTTTATCTCCATGGCTAGCATGATCCTGTCAGAGTGAAAGCTCTGACAAAGGAAGTGACTTTTGCCACTCAATGCTTTACTTCAACAGTGCATGCTTACTAGAACAGCATGCAACTCAAAACAATCTTGGCAAACATTTGTGGAAAGGTAAGAGGAAAGGAGGCTGGACCATTACTTTGTTTTTCCTAGGGACAGGCAGAAGTCCACAAGGGCAGTGCTTTTCTCCAACACAAAACATCCCTTGGGGATGAGGCATCGTGTCACAGCTGGTTCAGCTGCCTCCTGGACACCAGTATCCATTTGGAGTGCTGGGTTTGACTCCCCACTGTGCTTCTCATCTAGCTTCCTGCCAGTGTGCAGTGTGACAGGTGGGAGCTGATGGCTCAGGTACTTGGGCTGTGACTCCCACACAGGAAACTTAAAGTTCTGACTCCTGGCTTTAGCCAAATCCAGTCCTATCTGTTGTGGGTGTTAAAGTAAATCAGCATCCCATGGATGTCCCTTAAAAAGAAGACACATTGGGCCTAGCACAGTAACATAGTGGCTAAAGTCCTCACCTTCCACAAGTTGATATCCTATATTCTGGTTCATGTCCTGGCTGTTCCACTTGCCTTCCAGCTCCCTGCTTGTAGCTTGGAAATCAGTAGAGGATTGCCCAAAGCCTTGGGACCCTACACCTGCTTGGGAGAACTGAAAGAGACTCCTGGCTCCTAGTTTTAGATCAGCTCTGTTCTAGCCATTGTGGTCACTTGGGGAGTGAATCAGGAAACAAAGATCTTTCTCTCCTCTCTATAAATCTGACTTTCCAATAAAAATGAGTTAAAAGAATTGCATGCAAAATATTACTGGAATCCAAGAAACCTTCTACGTATGAACTAAAGCAGCTTTCAGTGGAGTTACCTTAAGGAGCAGTTATGAACATTCATTGCTTGGAGTGTGTGCCCAGCGCAGAGTGGGCATGGGCAGAAGGTCTTTGTGAGGGCAGCCATGTCAACAAGAGGTATCCCTACCAAGCAG